AGTGTTTCATATGCCAAAAAGAGGCGTTTATAGGGAGCCACAAGTTCATGGAATAGTAGAGGGATATGGTCAGACCTGTACTTTAGGAAAATCAGTTTGGCAGATGTATAAGAGAAAAACTGAAGAAGGGAAAAGTTTGAAGTAGGGAGACCAGTTCAATTAGGAGGCTATGTCAATAGTCCAAGAGAGAAATGAAAGTCTGAACTAGGTAGAGGGGAATGATTCCTCCAAAGGGAATAAGGAAAGCACATAGACCAGACAGTCACAGAGAACCAAGGTCTGGAATCCAGACTCTGGATTGTAGGATCTAAAAAGTGAAACATCAAAGCAGCTCAAAGAAGGATTAAATGCTAGGTAACTCCCATTTCCATATCACTTTGAAGTGTACAAAGAAGGAAGACAGTATATTCTTTCCTTTTAAAGAGGAAAAGTGACTTGCCCAGGTCAGACACCTAATGTGTGCTGAAACCAGAATAGGAACCTAGGTCTTCTAACTCCAAGTCCAGTGGCTGGAGGAATGGTCTCTGAAGGCTTCCAGGAAAAAGGTAGGGCTTCAATAGGCTTTGACGGAAGGGTAGGAATGAGGAAAGAGGGAAATGATAGAGTATCTTCATCTCTGTTTGAGTCTCCCCTTGCAGAAGAGATCTGGCCTGAGTCCCACCCCCCTCCCCCCAACATACTCTCATCCTTCCCTTCTTTTAGGCAGGCCTAATTGGGACACTAGTCTTCCAGACATTCAGAAACATAAAATCATAGTTTTAGAGCTGGAAGGAACCTTAGAGGCCATCTAGTGTAACTGCCTTATTTTACAGATGAGGAAACTGAGGTTTAGCTTCTATTAAATGATTCACCCAAGGTTACATAGCCAGAATGTCAGACGTGGGATTTCACCTCAGGTCTTTCTGACTCCAAATCCAGTGCTCTTTCCATTAGACCATGCTGCCTATTTGATGGAAACTTCTTACTTGGCACTGCTCTGCCCCTCCCCTCACCTACCTCAAAGGCCAAAAAGGATCTGGATAGGGGTGGACAGGCAATATATTACAGGGATTTCTATCTTACCCTTCCCTGGGGATTAATGGGGAAAAGGGTGGCAAGCAAGTATGCTTTGAGGTAGATGGGTGGAAGGAAGGACTGGAAACCTAGCCTTAGGATCCGGCCAATAGGGCTCTGGGACCAGGGCCAATTACATGTGGGTGAGGAGGGAGGCCTAGGGTGTGTGAGGGAGAGGAGAACAGCATAACCAGGGAGATAGCTGAAGGTTGTCACTGAGAAGAAAGAAAGAGGGGTGGCTTCACCCCTGGCAAACAAAAGCTGCTACAGAAGGAATCCTAAAATCAAAATGTTACAGCTCCCAAAGGCCCTTAGTGATTAGTTAGTCTACCCCTCATTTTAAAGGACCTGATACAATGGAAAGAATGCTTAAGATGGAGTCAGAGGTCCTGGGTTTGAATCCTGACCACCATGTGACCTCAAACAAGTCAATTAACCACCCTAGACCTCATTTTCCTCACCTGTAAGATGAGATGGTTAGATGAGATGGAATCTGATGCTCCTTCAGACTCTAGTCTAGAACTATGATCCTATGATCTCCTTGGGCCTTAGTTTCTTCATTTGTAAAATTGAACTAGATGACCTCTAAGATCCCTTCGTGCTTTAAATCTAGGCTCAACCTCCCAACTCCCAATCCATGCCCTCCCAACGCTTCTCCCACCAAAACCAGCAGACGTGTCATATAAACAGAGACTCCACTCTCAGAGTCACACTAGTCCAACCAGTTCCTAAGCATGAATCCTCTCTACCATATCCCCAATAAGTGGTCATCCAGCCTCCGTTTAAAGATATCTAGTAATGAGGCACTCCCTGCCTTCTAAGCCCCACATTTCGTGATTGGACAGCACTGTCTTCTTATGAACAGTTGCCTTCTTGTGACTTCTACCCACTTAATCTAGTTTTGCCTTTTTGAGGCTAACCAAGAACTGATCCAGTCCTTCCTCCCCATGACATCCATGACTTGATACTTGAAAACAACTATCATGTCCCTTCTAAGTCTTCTCTTCTTTAGGCTAAACAGCCTCAGTTTCTTTAAAGTTCTTCATAGTGGCATGGGTCTGACTCCCCTCACTATCCTGGCTGCCTTCCTCTGGCTAAGTTCCAATCGATCCAAGTGCCTCTTTTAACACAGTCCCAGAAATGGATATGACACTTCAGGGTAGAGGACCAAAAGACCATGACCTCCCTTGTTCAGGAAACTATGCATCTATTAATGCAGTTCAAGCTCTTTGGGCTCCTAAAAAACTCCCACTATCTTTTCCAAGGGATTTTTACCTAGCCAGACTACCTTCGTTCTCTGTATACTTGATTTTTTTGAACCTAATTTAGGACTTTGCATTTACCCCTATTCAATTCCATCTTTTTAAATAGTCCTTAAAGTTTGGTGGGGGTTTTTTTTTTGGTTTTTTTTTTGTTTTTGTTTTTGTTTTTTGTCAGCAATCCAGGGAAGCCTATGGATGCCATCCTCAGAATCAAGCTCTTAAATACATAAAGTAAAACACACAGGATTGTAAAGGAAGTCAATTATATTGAAATACAGTTATGAAAGTATTAAAAAAAAAAGTTCACAGACCCCAGGTTAAGAACTCCTGGTCTAACCTGTCAATCTTTTTTAGACTCTGACTCTGCTGTGCAATGCCTCACCTCTCTATCCTAACTCCCTATCATCTGCTAATCTGCAGATGTGTATTATCTCTCTCTGCTCTTGTGTGTTCAGCCCAATGCTAGGAGCTAGTGAGAAGTTCAAGAGGTGTACAGCCTCCAGAAACCTCTCATCACACAAGACATGACCTAAGGGCTAGTTACTTCTGAAGTGCTTACTTCTATGTGGAATGGTCCAGATTTCATGAAGCAGATAGAATTTGAGCAATGGAAAGTTTGCTTGAGACTCAGAAGGAAAAGCCAATTCTGCCCAGGGCTCAAGTCAAGCCACCCCAGACACTCAGCCCACAATAAATTTCAGGGGTTCAGGGAGAGTGAAAAGGGCCCAAATATGACTTCAGGAACTTTATTAGTTGAGGTAACTGAGCTATCCTGACATATACATGCCATGATCACAACCTACACCCAGAAATAGATCACAACTGGAAACTCACAACACATACTCCTTTGGGAAACAAAGCAATCCAGTGTCTGAACTGGGAAGATCTTTAGAGACCACTGAGTTCAAACCCTCTCATCTTACAGATGGGGAAAGTAAGACTCAGAAGGGAAAAAAGATTTGCTCAAGGTCAAAAACTTACTTGATAGCAGAGCTAGGACTAGTGCCCAAATCATTATCCCCTTAACCTTTTTGTGCCTCAGTTTCTTCAACTATAAAAGAAAGGGGTTGGATTAAATGGACTAAGGTCACTTCCTGCTCTAAATCTAGGAACCTGTTATCCTAGGAAAGCATAACATATAGGAAAGGTCACCAGGCCCTGCTTAATGCTCATCCATGGAGTTTTGTTCTCTTCCTTCCGAGTACCTCCTTGTCCAGATCAACATTTAAATGCTTACAGAAGCATACAAGTTATCACAAACACATGAGTGAACACAAGTCCTTCATCTAGAGAAGAATTCCATTCTAGCAGCCTCAAGAACCCCAATAATGTAGAAGAAAAGAAGCCTGGGTCCTAAATTCTTCCCAGGAACCTTCCCTAACCTGAGGCCAACTCAGCACAATTGTGGCCAATAAGAGGCAAAATGCCTCCCTTTACATAGACCTATACACGCAGATGTCACCCCACTCCTTGATACTGGCACTACAACAAAGATCTACCATATACAGATATATACTTAGGCACAAAGACACATGCATACAAAGATACACCACTCTCATCCCCTTCAGCGTGGAAAAGGGCAGGGAAGGGATTCTGGGGATAGGAGGAATGAGAACACTGGCCCTTTAAGAGGGCGAGTCTCATTAGGACCAGGAAAGGTGACCGCAGCCCCAGAACTAGAACCCGGCCTGGGGCCAAGAGCTAGAGGAGTCCCCTAACCCAAAATCCCAGTTCTTGCCCCTTCTGGGGGAGGGGGCAACCAGTAATCACCTGCTCTGGAGGAGAGGCGGGGCCCCTCCGTGGGTGGAGCCCCCGCAGGTGTAGGGGTAGGAAAGCCCCCCCCTTTCGTCACCCTACCCTACCCCACCCACATAAATGATTTCCCCCAGACCCGGCCAGCACCTGGCCCAAAGCTTGCGCCGGTAATCCCCGCCCCCGAGCGTATGCGGGGTCTCCCAGAGTGGGCTCTGCAGCCACCTCCACCAGCCCCTCCCACACAAGCCCCCAAATTCTCAAGCCGCCAAGCCCGCTAAACCTTCCCATATATACAGCCCACTCATACCTCCAACGCCCACCCCCACTGGAACCGTCGGCTGGGTCTCCCAGAGGGGCCCTGCGGCTGCCTACCCCAAAGCCTCCCCAAACCTCCAGACACACACAGTTCCCAACCTCCCCCCACAGCCACCGCCCTCCCAATGCCTTTCCCCAAAGCCCCCAATCTCTCAAATCCTCTACGAAACCCCAACCACCTCAGACAACCATTGCGCTTCTGAAACCTTCTAGCCTCTCCCCCCTTCCCCCTCCCCTACAACGTTCCTCACACCCATAGCCCCATAACCTCCGAGCCCCCCAACCTCTCACCGATCCCCCCTCGCAACACATACACCGCCCATCGGTGCGGAGACAAAGCCACATACATACACACGGAAACACAGACACAAGCTGTCACACACAATCACACACGCACACACACCCGCTGGTTCTGAAAGAACGGGGTCTGGGCTTCGGGAGGGCGCAGCCCCCCAATCCTAGGGTTTGGGTCCAGGCCTGTCACCCCCCCATCTCTGCGGCGCGCATCGCCCCCTCCCCCCCAGTGGAGCCAGGGCCGCCCCTCGTTGTGTCTTAAGAAGGAGGGTGCAGGGAGACGCCCCGGGGGAGGCGAAGGGTGGGGGTGGGGAAGCTGACCTGTCCGCGGTCCAGCCTTGGGCTGTCCAGCGTCCGGGACAGCGACGCTCCCGCAGCGACTCGGGCCGAAGGGACCCAGGCTCCGGGGCTCCCAGCCTCGCCTGCGCTGCGCAGAAATGGCCCGCCCCGTCGGTGCGCAGCGGGGCCCCCCCCCACACACACAGGCCCTCTGCCCCGCCCGCCGCGCACACCCCCGGTCCCCCTCCCCCGCGGCCCCGCCCCAGACCCTCCCCCCTGAGAACCGGGTAGACGAGCGCAGGCGCCGAGAAACTGCGGCGGCGGGGCCGGGCCCTGGCCCTGAGTCAGGGGGAGTGGATGGGGCCGGAGGACCAGCTGGGGAGCTGCCTGCGCCCTTCAAGAGCTGAGGGTCCTAAGCCCTGATCCCTAGGCGCTCCTCCTAGCTTACCTGGGCTAGGAACGCAGGGCCGTCCTAGGCTTCCGGCTGCGAGATAAAGAGAGCCAGAGATTCGGCCCCAGTGGGCCCCTCCCTCCTTTTCTGCCGCGCCCCCCTTTCTCGGGGAGGGGGGATCCTGCTGGACTTGCCCCGCCCCTTCTTGGGTAAAGCCCGGGGGATCCCCAGCTCTGGCTTGTGGCCGGTACTAGGTAGCTCCTTGCCCCCACGAGTTCACAATCCGGGACCAGGCCTTCCACAAATCCACTAAAGTCTACACTGGCAGTGGCCTGGCTCCGGGCTGTGGACCTGTCTGTGAATTCCCAGGTCTTTCTTCTCTGGGCTCCTCCCCACGTTCCCCCCACCACCATCCCCTCCACGACGTCTCCCATCCCATCCCCACATCCCACCCTTCTTGCCTGTCACAGGCCTGGGAATTCCCCAAAGGTGCCTTCCAGTAGCATTCCAGAGACCATTGAATCCAAACCTCTCATTTTACAGTTGGGCAAACTGAGGTCCAGAAAAGGAAAGGGGCTTTAAAAAGATCTTACAGCAAAGTGGTATTGGAGCCTGAATTAGAAGGCGGGTCTCCCCATTTTCAGCACAGGGCTCTTTCCCCTTAATCTTATTATCTATGTAATCTACCTGTGTGTCTGCAGATCATGCTTATTGAGGTTTGGCTAAAGCAACTGGAGCTATTTATCAAGACAAGTGGGGACAGCATAGCCGTCTTCAAATATTTGATGATTTGATGGATCTTTGGGTGAAAGAGGGATTAGACCCATTCTGCTTGTTGTGGGGTAGGAGGGGTGGGGAGAGGTTAGAAATAGGAGGAATGAGTAGAAGCTGCAGGTAGGTAGATTTCAGCTTGATCTAGAGGAAATTTTCCAAGTGACAAAAACTAGCCCAAAGTGGAATGGGCTGCTTTAGGAGAAAATGGGCTTCCTCTTACAGGAAGACTTCTAGCTGGATGATGGACCCTCACTGGAATGTTGTAATAGATTCTCAGTCAAGTACAGGTTGGACTAACCTCTGAGATCCCTTCCAACTCTGAGATTCCTGGTGATTCTGGTTCATTCCACCTTGCCATGTCTCCATCTGTCTTCCATGCCTGGAACCAGTAGAATGTAAATCCCTTGAGGGCAGGAACTGTTTGTTTTCTCACTATAACCCCAGTGTCTAGTTCAGTGCCTTTCATATAGTAGGTGCTTAGTAAAGGCTTATTGGATCAGGTTGAAACAGGCTCCCTCTTCATCTGCAGTTACTGAAATCCTTCCTTTACTTCAAGGCCAAGTGAATCCATAAGTGCCACCTCTTCTATGAAGTCTGCCTTGGACCTCCCGGTAAAAATCAGTCTCTCCCAGCTCAAATTCTCCACAGCACCTCTTCTTTGCATTTACCTCACTCTTCCTTCTATCAGCAATATCCTATAGTAGCAAAAGTATTCTGGAAGATCTGGGTTCAAATCCTGCCTCTGAAACTACCTGTATGACCTTAGACAAGACACCTAACTTAACCTACATTGGTCTTGGTTTCTTCATCTGTAAAATAAGGGGTTTGGACTAGGTGAGCCTTTTGTACCTTTCCGATTCTAGAGCTATGATCCTATAACCAACTAACAGTTATTTGGGTATATCTTTCCCCCTTTAGGCTAGATTAAAAGCTGCTTGAGGTGAGAAGCATCATCCTATTTATCTGTGTATTCCTGCCTTGAAAAATTGATTCTTCGGGTCACACCTGGGGAAGGGGGAAGAGCAGACTCCCCTCTCTTCCCCCTGCTTATAATCATAGTGTCTCCCTTTGGATACTGGGATAAGCCAAAGCTGTCCAACAGACAAAAAGAAATAGCATTTAATGCCCCTTAATAAGAAATAAGGCAAGGGAAACTGCTTCCTAGGAGACTTCACCCAAATTAATCCCTAGCCCTTCCACCCAGTATTTGTTTCTACCCTCTGCCCTAGTCCTGAGCCTGAAAGCATAATAGAAAGAGCATGGTCGGGTTAGTGACATACTTAGTTACCTCCCAGGTGGTACTAAACTCATTTTAGAGGAGTGGGAAAAAATGGATTCAGAGCCAGAACTGAGTTAGGGGAAGAGAAAGACTTCCCTCAGAGTGGTGCAAGTTCAAACCCAAGTTGTGTGACTCCAAATCCAGCCTTCTCCACCAACAGATATCCAAAGTCTAGGGTGGAGCTTTGTGAACCCAGACAAGTAACTTTCCTTTGCTGGGCCTTGGTTTTCCCATTTGTAAAATAAGAAGACTAACACATAATTTAAAGCTAGAAGAAGTTCTTAAAGATCTATTAGTCCAAACACCTCCCCCCCCCCAATTTTATAGTTGGGAAACTGATACCCAGAGAGGTGAAATGAGTTGTCTAAAGTCACAGAGGTAGCAAATGGCAGAACCAAGGTTTGAGCCTATTCTCCTGGCTCCCAGTTCAGAATTTTTCTCACTGTATAATCTATGAAGGTTGTCAGATGGGAAACTGAGGCCCAGAGAGGTTGCCCAAAGTTATATAGCTAGTAAGTCAGTGTCAGAGCTGGAAGGGTTAGTAGGTAAGGCTCAGTATTAGAACTGCATGAGATAGATATGAAAGGGCTTAAATGACCTTAAAAGTGTTTTACAGATGCAATTGGGGGTGGGGCAGAATTGGGGTGGGAGTACTTAGTGATTATGTGAATAGCAGTACTCACTAGGCTTCAGATGACACTGCACTGAGGGGGGAGAATTAAGCAGGAGAGAGGGGGATTTAGATTAGACAGCAAAGAGAATTTCCTGACTCCTTAAAGTCTATGCTAAGAGAACCTTTATCTGTTTCCAAAGAAGGCTGCAAACTTTGTCTCACAGCAAAGAACTGGAAACAATGTTATTTGTCCATCAGTTGGGGACTGGCTAAAGAGATTTTGTTACATTAGCATAATGGAATATTACTGTACTATAAGAAACAATGATTATGAAGAATATAGGGAAGTGTTGGAGGACTTATATGAATGGGTGCAAAGTGAGGTAAGCAAATCAGGACAACAATGACTTCAACGACATAAATGGAAAGAACAAGAGGGGAAAAGCAAAACTGAATGAATCTTATGTAATTATATTAGTCAAGTTTGGCACCCCAAAAGAGGAAAATGTACCTCCTTTCCTTCTTTGCAGAGGTGGGAAACTATGGGTACAAAACATCGTATATGCTGTCTCTGTTGATAATGTTGATAGTTTTCTAGAACTGCTTCTCTTTCTCTTTAAAACAAATTCTTTGTTTTGAGAGGTAGATCTCTGGGGAAGGGAGGAACATTTCTTTCTTTCTTTCTTTTTTAAAGGATGCTGCAGAGTCTCCCCTGGAGATGCTTCAGAAAAGGATTGAGATTGTCATGGTTTTAGGACTGGAGCCAGGTCCTTCCTGTAGCTGATACAGGCTAACTAGACTCCTTAGACAACTTCCCTCAGACCCATAGCAAGGCAAAGGTAGGCCCAGTTCACCCCTCCCTGTTCAGCCAGGAACAATACCTGTTTGGTCTTCAAAGGTCTTTCGTGAGAGCTTACATGCCCCTGTGAACAGCCATGTATCCATTACCAGTATGGAATAGTTGAGGACCCTCACTGTGAGATTAACCAGTAAGTGACACAGCTGCAGTTCGAATCCACATCATGGGACCATACATTTAGAACTGAGAGGGATCAAAGGTCAACTAGCCCACCACCACTGAATTGTGTTACCCTTAACTCCAAAGCCAGTACTCTCTCCAAAATACTACACCACTGCTATCCTTGAAGAGATGAAAGCCCAGTCCTGATATCTTTCAAGATCTTGGATCTTCCAAGGCCCAGAGTTTCTATAAAAGGTTCTCTCAGGCCAGGAAAGGGGGCAGCAGCCTCCCTTGGGTGTGGGACAGGGCAGAAAAGACCTAACACAGCCCTGGCATTGTTGCTGTTTGGGTTGGGAAGGGAGCTGTGGAAAAGGGACAGTCTGTCCTGATATGCCTTCCCTATATAGATGCTCAGTCGACATCTCTGGGGTACCTTGAGCCCTCATTTCATCTTTTTCTGGGCAGGAGAGGGGAAGAGCTGTTCTCAAATACATCATCTTGCCTACTTCTTGGTTGGACCCTCCCATATCTTCCCTCTGGACAGCCTAGGGCTCCCATTCACATTCAAGCCATCTCAGATGGAGAATGACCTGTACTGAGCAGGGGGTGTGTCTCACACTCAGCCCCTTCCAGACCTGCTCCTCCCTCCCTCCACAAAGGGCCACTGTCTGGAGCCCAGGCAGACATTCCTAGGAGGCCTCCCAAGGTGAACAGCAACAGGACTCGGTTTCACCACACCCCTAGGGCCACAGTCCAAGGCTGGGAATGACGCCCAGTGGTTAGAGAAGATAGCTTGGAACTGCTTCTTTCTTCCCCACCCCACCCCCTGCCCCAGGCTGACCTGGATTTGAGTCCTGGCCGTCACATTTACAAGTCATATGACTGACAAGTTCCCTTTTCTCTCAGGACCTCAGTTTCCTCATCTCTAAAGTCCCTTCCAGCTCTGATATTCTCTGGTTCCAGTCTATGGTTTTGGTCCTTGGCTTACCCAGATGACATCCCAATCTTTTTACATCAGCCTTCATAGGTTGTATAGTGGAAAAAGTCCCAAAATAGGAGGCAGGAGACTGGATTCGAACCCCAGCTCTGCCACTTGAC